GTCGAATCTTCGCGAGTCGGTTGCGAGATCTGACCCAATGGGAGGACATAGGGACGGAGGTGGGCCTCGGTCAAGCTGTTGCCATCAGCGGGTCGCCCAGCCACTCAGTCGCCTTGGTGAAGAGTAACCTTCCAATCATCCCAAGGGCCCCGAGGGGTCGTGTCCCAGGCCTGCAGGCATTGGCTCAGTGCCAACTTGCCCGATCCGACGTCCATATCGGTTCTATTATGAAGACGACCTATGAGCTGTGCGTAGCTGATGCCCTCCCATGTGGGTTTGTGAGGTTCCCTCTACTAGTTGACTACTGCATAGTCACTTTCCTTTGCAATATCCTTTTACTATATGCTAAGTCGCCAGACACTGTGATAAGATTGTTGAAGTGCCTAGCCCCCCTGCTGAGACATGTTGTGGCGCGGCGTGAGCGGGGAGAGCTTTCTTTGTACTATCAAGGGCTGTACGACAGGCCGGCGGATATTCTGAATACCCTCTTATCACAGGAGGATGCGGTCCAGCATATGGTCAGTCATATGGCTGTGCTCAGACACGAGGAGGAGGGAGCAGAGGCCGCCACAACAGTAGTAGAGGAGAAGTCGAAGGAGAGTGGAGGGAGGGCCACCAGTGCCGCGGTGGGAGGCTCGTTGGACAGCCTTGAACACCGTCAACAGAAACGACTAGACGCGGTCGTCAGGAAACAGGAGGTCCTCACCGAAGGCGTCCGACGCAAATCGATCGGTGGTGGTGGTGGTGGTAACCGTCCTGAGTGGAAAGAAGTCCAGACGGTTCAGGCCAAGGCAGCGAGAGAGAACCAACCGAAGAGCCCTTCTTCTGCCTCCCGGTCTCGGGCAGGTTCGGGTTGCATGTCGTCTCCTCGGTTACGGTCGACTAGCAATATTTCGGACTCCGGCCCGCAGCCCCGTACGCCTACTCTTGGTGACTTCATTTTCACGGGGACGAGGGTTTCGCCGCCGCAGGCCCACGCGAGGTCGTGTCCTTGGGCGAGTTCGCCTAGAAGGAGTGAGGCGCGGTTATCTGAGGTGATAGAGGAGCAGAGGGCCAGCAGTAGCAGCTCATCGTCTTCTGCTAGTGCTCGGTTACCTAATGACCGTTGCTCTTGGGGCATGGACGTGACCCCTGGCGTGCGTAGACCTAGTGCGTTGACGGCCGTGATGGAGGAGGAGAGGGCGGCTCGGGAGGCTGTGAGGTTGGTGGAGGAGTTCGAGAGGAGTGAGCGGGAAGCTAGACGACTGGCGGCTATCGAGGAAGCTGCGGCCCTGCAGCGACATCAGGAGGATCATCCAAGACGACAGCGGCGTCCACAAGGGCATGGTCGGCATGGTAAGGGCAAAGGGCGTGGGAAGGGCCGATGGGTGGAAGATCCCCTAAGAGCACCTACTGGTAGAGTCTAATAGTTTCTCGTACATTTATTCGCACTATTTTCAAGGAGTTACGGTATTGTTGCGTGTTTGGGGGCATGAGGATCTTTGGTAGTATCATATGACTTATCATCATGAACCACACTGTGATGCTAGTCGGCTGCCTCTCCCACCCCGTCAACCTTACCGCACTAAAAACGACAGCAAGCGTAAAGCGCAGGCTAGGGAATATCCACGATCGATCATGATGATGGCTACTGACTTTACGCCAATGACAAAAGGGAGGGGCAGAAGGTCAAAGCAAGTCTCATTGACCCTCGGCGAAGCGGAGGAGCTCAGCCGCACAGTACTGCTGACCAATATGCCCTTGCCGCCCAAGACGGCAGTATCAGATCTGGACGTTGTGGAGACGGCCACTGCTGTGAGGAAGTTCTATACTACTTGGCTTGGCACCTACGGCCCGCCCGAGAAGGTAGTATCATTAGAGCGTCGTACGAGGACTGTTGTGTGCCTATCCAGATCGAACTGTGTGACCCTGAGGGCTCTCTGGTTTGTATATACGCCCAGAGAGATGCCGCACTGTTGGCGGTGGATTGGATGCATCAGAGTCGGCCTGTGGTGGCGGGGACGAGAGGCAATGCCCGGGATGGACAGGTAGGGCTCAGTGTTGGTATTATGCGGCTTGGTGTTCTCTCTAACTAGTAGGTTATTGCGACGCTCGCCTCCAATAGACGCGAACTTCACACTGTAGATGGGCGCAAGGTGGGAAGAGGCTTTGCTGGGTGGTTGATCGATTATACTAGATATACTCGTATGAGGGTGTGCTGCCGTTTACTGTGACGAACGGCCAGCTCTCGGATAGTAGAGTGACAATGATCATCTGTCTCGAGAATCTACCACCAGAGACGACGTGTGAGGAGGTCTATGCGGTCGTCGGCAGATTCTCTAGGGTAGGAGGGCCACGATGAGCGTCTCAGCTGGATGGAAATTTGTAGTCGGTGTACATCCCTTCGGAGACCCAGGCGGAAGGCAAAGTTATGTGCTCTTTCCGAAGCTCTGGGGAAGCTCATCTGTTCATGGCTGCTGTGAATTATGCATGTGGGGACGGTGCTGTGTATTTGGCTGAGGAGACATACCGCAATTTCGTAAGATTCTGCATCTTCGCTTCGTGGAAGGGTTGCCCATAGGTACCCCGAAGTTGGATAGTAGCTAGGGTCCATGCTTATAAGTATAAGGCCCCATTAATCAGGAGTAGGAAGGATTGCCTGCCGTTCGGCCTTGGGGGCGGGCTGGACGTTGAAAGCTTCCTTTTAGGGGGTCCTTCGATAACGCCTCTGTTGTCGATGGCGCGCAACCATTACCGGGCATTGGATGTGTTATTGAATATTACGAGGGAGAGGCTGGACGCAGATAGAACTTCCAACATGGATAGCATTTGTAGCAACGACGGCAGTTCGACTACTAGGAGCAATTTGGATGAGAGTAGGCTGTGGGGATCGAACCTCTGCGGTAATTGAGTAGTCGGGTTATTAGGTGTGAGGTGTCCTCCAAGTTCGAATCGTTCAACTCCACGGCCGGCGCCGATGCTGATACCTCCCGCGGCGTTCCAAGATCCGATCGGCAACTGTTTAGTGTTCAATGTAATGCTCGCCAATAGCTCTTCCCATGATAGTAGTGGTTTTCTCCTCAGCCCTTCGCCGTCCATGCTCTCAGTAGAGCCTATGAGATGCTGGCTGGTTGGTATCCCCCAGGGTCTTTGACTCTGGTCAAGCCCGACACGATCGGGAGGCATCACCTGAATGCTCACTCTCGGTAGCGGCGTGAATGGCTATGCTATGTTCATGTCTGTGATCAGGCAAGGTCACATGGCTGATGCTATGAACAGGTCAACTCTGACACAATAGGGAACTTGTCAAGTACCCTTACGACTTTTGGTTGTTATAAAGTGTATGTGTTATATGACCGTTGCGTTCAGTCTTTCATTGGAAGTGCTGCCGTGTCCAATTAACCGATGCGTTTCAAGCTTCGTCGGCTTTATTGTGTTTGTTATTTTCGAAGTGCGGTTGCAGTACACTCATTGTTGTCATCATAAAAACTAACGGACACGAGATCAAACTCAACTTAGTGCACTATTGTTCTTTCCCAAGCACATCGGTGATCTCCTTTGGGAGACTTCCCAATCCACATGATATACGCTAGGCGTGTTTGCTGTACTGCCGTTGTAGTTTACCACTCATCTTGGAAACGCCTCGAACTTAGGTGTACGTCGTGGATCTGTCGGAGCAGCGTGCTCCAGCGGAGGAGTCAGATAGGCGCCTATCTACGAACCAGAGTCAACTGATGTCTCTATTGAGACCCTTCTATGTTGCTTATGTATGCTGAAGTCATAGCGCGAAAGCATTCTAATCGTTACGCTCCTCTCTGATGGGGAGTATTTCGAGACGATGTTTGATTAATGCCACTCACCTATCCATTACCAGTTCACCTGAACTGAAGATGTGAGTACCCCTTTCCGCAAGGGTGTCTCGAACGAGGCTCTTGAGGAAGTCTCCACGTCAAACTCCCGACGTTGGGATGTTGAAGGCGCGCATAAATCGATCACGTGATCGATTTGAGATTGACCAGCTACCTCACCCCGTCCAGACCCCATCGACATCCATCCACGCCTCATCATGGCCGATCAGGTACTAGTTGGTAGTGTTGTGATGTATTCCGTGCTTGTTAGTGTGACTCGTCGCCTAGTACGTGTTACATCGCGATTTTTTACGTGTATTTTATCATTATTCGTGGCTTCGTGACTGTATGGGTATAAAGTGTCACTACTTGGTGTGAATTGTGGTGGTATTGTTTTTTATTATTTCAGCACGAGAAGGCTTTCCAGAAGCAGGACGCTGTCTTCCTTGGCAACAAGAGGGCTCTCAAGTCCAAGAAGGGTCTTCGCTGGTTCAAGAACGTCGGTCTTGGATTCCAGACCCCTAAGGAGGCCATCGAGGGAACCTACATCGATAAGAAGTGCCCCTTCACTGGCAACGTCAGCATCCGTGGTCGTATCTTCCGCGGTATGGTGATCTCCAACAAGATGGAGAGGACTATTGTCGTTCGTCGTCATTACCTTCATTACATCAAGAAGTATAACCGTTTCGAGAAGAGGCACAGCAACACCGCCGTGCATTGCAGGTAACAACTTTAGATTGAATCTAGTATTCAAGACTTTGGTTTACTCCTCTCAACGCAGCGAGATGAATCGTTTCTTTCAGTCCCTGCTTCGAAGCCAAGGAAGGTGATATCGTCACTTGCGGTCAGTGCCGTCCTCTCAGCAAGACCGTGCGTTTCAACGTGTTGAAGCTTGAGAAGAACCAGATCTTCGGTACCGCTAAGAAGCAGTTCCGTCTGTTCTAAAAAGCCGTAACTCATAGCTGGAATGAAGGCTGATGGATGATAACGGTCGTTTGGGAAGATAGCTTCTTTCCGATCAACAACATCTTGTGTTGTAGTTCACCACAATCTGGGGAGGTGAATGTCAGACTTCGATGGGCTCACCCCTGAGGCACGCGTCCACATCGTCTTCGCTGTGCTACGCTTCATCACTGGAAGGGGCAGAATCGTATTACTTGTTCAGGACAAATAATACAGAGTTTTAATCACAATATCCTCGTATTGGTTCTATCGTATCGTATCGGCTTTGGACCGATCCAATGAATGAGTGGTGGTTTCCATAGCTAGCTAATTAGATGAAGTTAAGGAACTAGGAAGGAGCTTTGGTTTATTGATGAGTTGTTCTGGAGGGTACGAAGTGATAGATAGGAGTGCACACTTGGGATATACGATAGTTCCATAAGTGCGGTGGTTGTTGCGGCGGGGAGGAGGAAGGGTGGCGATCACGTTGTGATATCCGGTGCAATGTGGGAAGTGCTTTATACAGTGTACAGTAACGCAACACTGTTTGGATAGAATGGAAATCATGTCAACACTTTAGAGTAGTAACTCATAGCAAAACGGCGGGTCCATTGATCCAGCCGCAGAAATCACGTTGGCTGATACCAAGCCGTCCATCATTGCATAGAGCATTGAGGACAAAAGTGAGCTCATCGTTACGGAAGGATATCCCGGCCACTTGACCTGAGGAGAGCCTCACCATTCCTGTGGGGGCGCGGGAGTGGTACCACTGAGGAGGTTGAATTCATCAGCAGTCATTCCTTCCTGATAGTTGGACCTGGCGTAGGAGTTGAACATCTGCTCGGTGTTTGCGTTCTGACGGCGAATTTGTTGTCGAACCTGTGGTGGCTGTACGTAGTGAGCAGAGGTGAAAAGCCTCACGCGATCCAACTTCCTTGATTTCATGACGCCCATAACTGTGGCGAATACTCCGATGAGAAATACATAGAAACCAAGTAGAACCGCACCGAAATACCTAGAAATGCTGATGTTGCCGCACGGCTGATGAATGGTGACACCATATTTGATTATCCCAGAGTGTGGCGAACGTCATAGTGCCGAGGAAAATGTACCAAATCCCTCTACCTGTGAACCGTGTTAGGAAGGCGAAGTACTTGATGATGAAAGCCTACCACACAAGGCTGGGCTGGCTATGGCAAGCTGCTCGCTCACCTGCACTTCAACGATGCCTTTGAACCGCACTGGTGCATCGAGGAGCATCATCTTGGTTCCAAAAAGGAGGAGGTAGACGCAGTCAACGAGATCGAAGGGAGCTATCTCGGTTAGGAAGACCTGTCTAGGAATTCGAGAAGGAGTGGTATTGGTTGAGATGTTCACCTCAATAGTAGAGATAACACTGGCGACCACCACACAACAGGCTGCCGTGAAGAAAATGATGTCCATGGTCATCGACATCTGAGTGGCTTGAGCCTTCCATGCTACTACAGTGCTCACCACGCTCTGGGCTCCTGATCATCACCAGACGTGGACATGCACACTCGCGTGTCGGGTACCTCCTTCGAGGTCTACTCGACGGAACCCTTGGGCGAAGGGGTTGGAGGGACGACTCATTGAGGATGGGTAACTTAGTTCACAGAATTATGGTACTCACACAATTCAATAATCATCATAATCAACTACATCGACGATAAGTAAACAACAATCATCATTTTCCCATGGAGGAATCTTAGTATAGTGCATCCCTGATCCTCAGCGTCATGGTCGAGACCAACCGCTGTTAGTTAACTCCACAGACTCAATCTGAGCCGTATTGTCGGAGATCTGCATGTGCCAGGCAAACCACACGACTCCGATGGCTCTGCTGTTAATTCTGAGGGCGTACCCGAGCAATGTTCTCGCGAGTCAGATCCTCTGTTGGTGTTCAATCATGCTCGCTCATTCCTTTACTTCCCGTCCTTTTCTCGTGACTATGGCCCAGGTGCTCATAGCACAATAGACACGCCAACAGAAGTATTGTACTCATGAGGCTTTGTAGGAGTAGGGGACTACGTGCATGCAGCAGAGAGCTTCCCTTATTGATAAATGTTTCCCTATACATGCTCCAGAGGGCTACGCCTCTTGCCCTCTTATACAACACGAAGGAGAGTTAACTGACGAGTGACGCCCTACCTATGGCCGATAATTTACAAACATGAAGCGAATAAGAGTGATAACAACCAATACATCACGTCATGCAGTATTATAGCGACCTCCACCCTTCACTACTCCGAGTGATACTTCTTCATCGCCTTGAGCTGGGCCCTCAATGCAGCCTCTTGTTCTCGAAGAGGCTGCAATGCGGCTTCGTACTCAACCTCATACGCATCGAGGGCTGCTCTTATCCGACCTTCTTCTTGACGATCCCTCTGAGACAAAAGCCACTTAGAAGAAGGATTCAACCTCAAGGTAACAGTTGATTAGTTGCAGTATCGGACCTCTATTTCGAGCTGCAGCTGAGCATCTCGTGCCTTGAGGACGTTCACTGAAGCGGTCACGTCTTCGAACTCCCGCACTTGCGGTATTATTCGATTTCGTAGGGCGCGGTCGTGCAGAATGATCGTGCAGATGTAGCCGATGATCGATAGCAGCAATACGATGTTGAATCCATAATGGACCTGAACAGTCGATTTCAGAAGTGCATCTCAATAGTAGCAGGAATGCGATTCTCTCATTAGTGCGAGAATCTACGCTGCAAATCTGGGAGCACTTAGGTGGTATGAAGAAGGCACGGATGAAGACGTACCCGTCTCAATATGGAAGAGCGCCTATCGCCTCCTGACTCTGATGGTTGTAGTAACTCCTGATGTTTCACTGTATGTTTCAGGGGAGATCTCGCCAACATGTCGTTCCCGAAACTAGAAGCTCGTTTGCGTGTTCCCTCGAGAATAGAGTCCAAGGCATCCCCCGACGCTGGCCGGAAGGGCTCTACGTACATGTTAG